TGCTCAAGGCGCTCAAAGTGTATATATTTTATAGGGGGAAAAAACAACCGATTTTGAGAGAATTGTCGGAACGTATGTATGAGTTTCCCGATTTTTCATATTTGTAACAACTTAGTCCCGATTTTCGAGGTTTTCTTTTTAATTTAATTTATCTTATTTTGTCAAACTTGTTGTTGTTGTTGTAACGGCATACAAATTCCTAAAATAGTTTTTGGGAAGTGATGCTGGAGTGACAGTCCTTAGTCAAATATACATACATATCGTCGTACCAATGTCAGTTACGTGGTTTCGCAGAATGACAATACGCGGTTTTGTACTTTAAACGACGATATGTATATTAGGGCGAAGTAATTTGTTCGGAGAAACATTTTCGAAGAAAGTGTGTAACAAATACAAATTTTACGATTAATTTTAAGCAAAAATGGCGAACAAACTACATATATACCAAAAATTACGTTTGACCCTCCCAACTTTAAATAGAAGCAGCAGTATATTGTAACTTTTTTGATTGAATTTTATTTTTCATTGTATCAAAAAATTAAATACATACATATGTAATTTTATATTTTCTCGGTTTTGTCAAGTAGTTTCTTAAATATGAAGTAAGCAGACAATTTTGTAAAAAATTTAATTCGAATATGCCATACACTTTTTTCGAAATTAAATTACTCCGCCCTAATGTACATACATAAATTTGGGTCGATCCGGTTATGTAAACCGCTAAGTTTTTACAAGTTCTGTTAATTTCTGGGTAATGGCCAGTTCATCATTCTTGCTTAATTTTTTTTTAAGGTATTTGTAATTATTTGCTAAGATTGTTCTTTGGTATTCAAACCCAACTAAGTTGAATTTAATGAAATTATAAAAAATAATATTAATTTCCTCAAAAAATTCATGGATATGAAAAATCTAAGCTAAATACAATGTTTGTGTACATTTTTGCGATAATTTTTCTAGTTTTTTCGGTTTGTTTTGTTTTAAACTTACTGTGATAAAAACAAAATTGTATAATCGGATTCAATATTTTAGAAATGTCCCTAATTTTGTCCACAGAAATCTGGTCACCGTAATTAAAGGCCGTTTTCAACATGTTCGGTTAATACGAATACCCCGTTAAACAGCGTAATCGATGTTACCGATTCAATGTTAAGTGCCTGGAGTCGATACCGTTGATAACGATCTTTAACCGAAGTGACGCTTCTAAACGTACAACTCATACATACGTATGTACATAAATTTGTACGTGAATGCTAAAATGCATTTAAGCTTTTAAATTTCCAAAATTTCTTTTATGTTCACTTCGGTTCCTAGTTACCGATAATCGAACTTTATTTTGACATCTAATTTACTATCTGTTCATTTTAAACATTTCTTTTTATCATTTATTTTTAATTTATTTGCTTTATTTTTATTCCGCTTTATTTCTCGCATATCGTTTCGTTGGACACATTTGCTGGTGCGTTAAATTATGCCAACATTGCAGGAGAATTTCAAATTAAAAGTAAAATAAAGTCAAATCGATTAGTAAAAAAATATGGATTTTATTGGAAAACGGAGGCAGCTGATTCGCTGTGTTTTTATGTACTTGTAGTTGGCAACGTTTGTGTCGGCTGGATGCGGAAATGCCAGCATAGCGTGAAATTTGAATATGTGACAGTTAAAAATTTTGTTTGTGTTTGTTGTTGTTCTCATGCAACGCAAAGTTAATTTGCTCGAAACTTGCCACTGATTAAATGTTGAAGTATATTTATTGCAGAGTAAATTTGTATGTATGTGGCCAACTCTAAGTATGTATGTATGTATGTAAGTACATTGTACGTAAAATGGCAGCGTTGAAAAATAGATCAATCGAAAACTTTTTAATTAAAAAATGTTTACCATCAATCGCTAATACAGCTCATAAAATGTAAGCATTTTTCTACCCTCAAATACTCGAGGTAAAATTTGTTGTGGTTGTGTGCTGGGTTTTTGGAATTTGAAAGTACACATGCATATAGTATGTATGTATGTATGCAAATATATCGGCAAAATTTTTAGTGTAATTTTTTGCGCTATGTTAATATTTGTGCCATTTTATGGCGCATTTATTTACACATTTATGCTTAATAACTTAATCTACCAAATTTTGTGCATATAAAAATATAAATATTTGCAGTTGTATAATTTTACTAGCAATGGTTGACCAGCTCAATTATACAGAAACAAATTTACATATCTACATACGTACGTATAAATATGAATTCCGCTGCTATTTGCAAAATTAAGTATAATACTTAGGTAAAATTTTTATACGATAATGTGCACATTGTAAAAGATAATACCGTTTAATGTTCGAGCTTAAGTTATTAACTATTAATTCATGCGAATAAAAGCATAAACGATATTTACACAACGCAAGTATGTAGAATTGTGCAGATATTAAAAATTGTAATCAAAAAGTCGCTGTGATATGAAATTTATATATGCATCCTAATTTTTGTATGAAAATAAAGCAATTAATGAAAATCGTTTGTTAAATATGTAAATGCAAAACATTTAAAATTTGGATGAGAACTTATGTGGATGTTTGATTGCTTTTTCTTTCCCCTCACACTACTATAAAAATTTTGGAGTTGCGGATCGTTCCCTGGTCCGAACTTAACCCAGCAAACCTAAAAATATTATCGTTGTGGTACATTTTAACACACCATAAAGCCGGTCTATCGAGGAGTTAGCGGGTTAAAATATGCAATACAAATTATTCCCGTAGTGTTTTACATAGAACTGCTGAACATAGAGTATTTATCAAATGTAAGAAGCAAATAGTATCCGTGGCCGACTTACCACAAAATAACCTAAATTAATTTTGAAGTCTTCATTTTTGGCAAAGTCCTTGTGCTCGATCTGCTTTCGCTTCCCAACACTCTATGCATCCACTTATCATAAACACTACAATACAATGGCATTTCACTGCATTGTAAGCCCTTTACCACACTACCTACACATATGTATGTACATATTTATTAGGGTGATTGATTCGGGTTTTCAAAACCGGTTTCGACCATTTTTTTGTGTGAATATTTTTAAGCGGTTTTTTTAATCTTGATTTTATATATTGAGTGAACCAGATTTTTACAATGGAACATACCGGGTTTTTATTTATTTTATTTAAAAATCAGAATCTAAATATTCTAAATCAGCTTTATCATGAGTTTCATTTTCCATGAATCGGTTCACTTTTCACTTTTTCTTTCCAGGGTTTTTCTATGGGCGGATGACAAATTTTCTGGTGATTTTTTTTTTCAAGCGAAACTCAGGTTAAGCGGGTGAATTTTTTTTTCAGGCGAAACTCAGGATAAGGCAGAATATTTTTTAATCTAAATAATGCAAAATTTCCAACTGCAAAAAATTACACAAAAAGTAGTGGAAAACCGAACGAAAATCATTCACTGAACCGATGTCAGCGAGCATTTAAAGAGGTGGTTAATATCGTTGGGGCATCTTATTCAAATTTGAGAGAACAGTTTATTTTGCACATACGGGCCTCACGTTGATAGAAATCAAGGGGCGAGAGCTGATGAAGGGGTTGATTGATTCTCGATGCTATGTATGGTTGGTCTGGTTCAGCGGATGGCGTGGATTATCATTTCCAAGTTTCCAGTCTCCTCTACATACTCGAGCTTTTCCCTACAAAGGACTGTGTGGATTTAAAGCTATGCCTATTTTCAATAGTTATATTGTAGTTTTGAGTACTTACTAACCGTAGTAGACTGGTGTGCTGCAACGGGATTGAAGAAGGAGAAAAAAAGTTAACTTGACTAGACCCATCTTGGCCAGGACAGAAACAAGCAAGCTACACCGCTTAGTCTGCGTGACCGTCACAGCAGCTATGCGCACCTGCCCAAAGGGTGCCCTTGGTGTGATTACAGGCATTCCCCCTCTGTAAATTTTGATTGGAAACGATGCCGGCTGGAGTGCCCTACTGCTGCCCAATTTAAACAGCGTGAAAATTGGGGATCTTAGAGAGGTCAGCTGAAGGTTCTCGAGCCATTCCTGGATGATCCCGCTATCAAGTTCACAGATATAATGCTACCGAAATTATCCTTTTTGGTAATAATTATGATAGACAAAGTGTCCCAAGTATGGTATACCGATGGATCGAACATGGGCGAATAGAGTACTGGGACAGGCATTATTGAACCAAGACCATCGATATTCCAGGCGAGAGTCTTCGCCAACGAAGTCTGTGTTCGAGAATCTCTTCGGAGCAGAACAAACAGGCCAGAATATTTAGAATGACAATGTAGACAGTTGTAAAACTCATCTGAACAGCCAAGGAGTCGATAATCGAGTGACGCTGTGGTGGTTGCCTGTGCACGAAGGGTTTGAACTCCGAAATATAGCTTGAACTTAGACGGGAGAGCCTTGAGACTTCTACAGGCTGCTTGACAGGACACTGTAAGTTAAGGTAAGTTGTGGGCTGGTGGAGCATAGTCTTTATGACTGTGCACGTATCACAATTCGTAGACTGACACATTGCTGTCTTCTCCATCCAAAATTTGGAACACGGCAGCCTCCAAAATGCTTAATTTCTTAAATAGCCTAAAGTTGGAGTGGCTACAATTAAGCGAAGCGCGACTATACAGTTTAGGGAATACTTATGTAATATAAGGCCGGTTCCTAGCTTTGGGGAATTGGATTTTTTTTTCAAATTCCCATTTTTCGAATAACTCGAAACCCGGGTTCCAAAAAAATAATCGAACATCCTAGTATATATGTATGTAGCGACTTATCTTTCATACCCATTTTCATTTCCTTTTTTTCACTGCATTAATACATATAAAAAACAGTATAATTAAAATGTGAGACAAAAAGCACACATCGTTCGTTCTACATAGAAGTTAGTGTTTTGTCAGTGGCAGAGCAAGGATTTCCTGCTCGCTGTCATTTTGCTTCTTTTACGCCATTCAGAGAGCAGACCCCTGCCCGCGACGCCGCCACAAGTTTGTGCCTCAACTTACCTTGTGCTCGTGCCATTCGCACGCATCCGGTTGCCGTTAGAAGAATGCAGAATACCGTGAGAAACTGACAAAACAATGACAGTGTTGCTCTAATGGTGGCAAAGGTGGCGGTGGTGGTGGTGATGGTGTTGGTGTTGGCTGCGTTGATAATAGTGGTTGCGCATTGTAGACGCCTCAGGTGTGGTTGCGGTGAGGTTGCTGTGTGGCACTGCAGTTTGTTGCCGGTAATACTGCTGCTGCCGCTGCCGCTGCCGTTGCCGCGGCCGTTGCCACTCTCCTTGCTGTCGCTGCCACTACGGCTGCTACTGTTCTGCAGCGGATGCGGAAACGGCGCCATTTGTGTTGGTGACGCCATAACGACGGTGCGAAAAATGCAATACAAATGTTGTCCGTGCACGTAAATGTGTTTGTGGGCTGTAAAGAGTGGAAAAATAGAGAAAAACAAACAAGGGCATAAGAACAAGAGATTGCGTGTGTGTGTGTGTGTGTGTGTGTGTGTGTGAACTACTACTAAATAAGTGAATTTTGCCAAAAATTTCAATAAATGCATATTTTTCGAAATTCACAGCGCTTAAAAGTTTATTTCGCCGTACGCGCAGTGGTGTGGCAACAAAGTAAACGGGCGAAATAGCGTTCCACTTTTGCGCAAACAATATTGCGTAACAATTTTGCGCGCAATAAATTCCCCATCAATTTTACTAATTAAAAAGTTGCTACTATGTGTGTACACTGGCAGGCTTTGCGTCGTCATCAAGAAGAAAAAAGTACCAAAACAAAAAAAAAATAAAAATAAAACAAAATTAAAGTGCTGCGAATGGCACACAAATTAAGCGGCACTTCATTGCCGGCTTTTGTTTTCGCAGCATTCCCAATCGGGAAATGACTAGCGCTAATACATTTTGCCAGCAAGCCTTGACTGTTTGAACTTTTCGACGCCTTCTGCATAAATGAATTATGGAATAATTGCTTTACGCAAACGCTTTGCCAAAGCCACTCAGCGGCACTAAATTGCAGCTAGCCAGAGCTTCCTCATTTGCATTCGCTCACTACTACGCTAAGCGCCTTCTTTATCTACCTACATACATAAGTATGTGTATGTATGGATGTATGTACATAAAAAGCTCCAGTAAACTCGCTACAGTATTGCTGCTACCTTCCTCTTCCTCAGCCCGATCTATGTACTTCCACTCAAATGCCAACGCTGTGTTGTACAAAATTTTAACAACGCTTTCAATAATTTAAATGTTAATGCAACACTTGAAACTATTTAGCGTTCTCTTTGCCCAATTTTCAGCTTTCCGCATGCCGTTTCAGCTGTGTCCACTGCTGATCCGGCTTTCAATTGTACCACGCGCCATTTAATCGCACGCGTCTCAATCTTCCACATCCACCGCCAACTTGTACGTATTTCATTGCTGCAACTAAACACATACATACATACATACATACATACATATGTACATACCCGTATATCGTCAGTTATTGCTCCGTCTTAGCTGGTGCTCCCGCCAGCTTCTCATGCTTTGCTGTCTTTGAATTCCTTTAGTTGTAAATGAGAAAAGTTACGGCATTTCAGCTGAAACGGCTAGGCGAAGGCAGCATTTATTTTACGCCAGTTGCCCGCTCTGTTTTATGTACTGTCGCTATTCAGTCAATCCGTCGACATTCTGCTACGATTGCTGCTGCCTCAGATTTCACTTTGCTCTCCATGCGTCAACACTTTAATTACAGAGTTATAGTATTTTCATTTGTTTTTGCAATGCGATGTCATTGTGGCAGGCGGGAGCACTGTGGGCTTTAGCGAATGATCGTAAGTGTTTTGTGGGAAATCCAAAAAAATCTTAATAAACTGAAAAGTGTGAAGTATATTTTGTTTTTTTTTCAGTTGAGTCTTTTGTGTCCTTTGATATTTTTTAACTCTCAATTATGAGTCCGCTGTGCTGGTTGGTATACAAGAATTTAACTTCACCAATAAATTCTGCAAGGTTCTAAGGCTAACTCAGGTTGGACGACAGTCTTTGAAATACTGCGTAATAACTGTAAACCCCAGTTGCTTTGTAAATCACCTGCTTGCTAGGAAGAAAGTGCATAAGTTCCTAACACCCATTGCACTAAGAGGCTCACCGCTTTGCTAGAGCCGCACAATGATAGATAAGGTGTTGGATAGTTTCTTCTTCGTCCTCATCCATGCAGCTACTACGGTGAACCTTTCAGGGTGTACCCAGTCTGCCTGCGTTTATTCAAATCAGACAATGCACGCTAAGAACTCTAGTTCCAGGTTGAGTAGAGCAGTAGTGGTTGGGCGTCTATGGCTGGCCAGAGGGTTTTAGTGATATTATACTTAGATTGATTGCAACTGCCACCTTTCATTGGCAATTTCTGTTTCCCCTAATGTCGCAATGTAAGCGATATGTGGATGCGTCAAATTATTAATCAAGTTAAGCCTTACGGCAATGTTACCTAACATCTTTCTTACATATAGATCCGTCGCCTGAAAGGTTAGTAGCGAGTTGATCGTTTTTGGTTGCTGTTGTGCTCGTGTCTCATCAGTGGAGAAGCCAGTCGTTGATCCTTGTATATTTTCTTAGAGTTTACCGTTTTCTTGAGAGCATCCGAACAAACAATGTACTACACTGTAAAAAAGATTCGGTCTTATCGACGCTAGTATGGATCCATACTAAAATCTTGGCATCCAGTGTCCGAATTTCGCCGAAAAGACCTACGCAGGAGAATACACCAATTACGCCTTTTCGGACCCTTTCATCGACGTTAGGTACCCAATAAAATTTTTTTTCCTGAATTAAATATAGATATTTAATTTATTCGTTGCTATTTAGAAAGTCCTATACCATTTAACACTTAAGGTGATATTTCGGAGAGTAGAACACATGTGCTTCCTGCTAAATAGTACCAGCTCGGATTTTGTGTATCATATCCTAAACTACGATTGCTGCACCAACGGGAGAGTATAAGGTTTGTCAGGGTTGTCACATGCTTTCCGGCAATGAGAAAATTTACGCATGCCACACTTCCATACCAGATTAACTGCTCTTTTTGTTCTCCGAGCACAACCTTAATGTGTTTCTGAAAACAGGCTGACCTGTACATGTCTAACTATGTAAACAGTAACTAAGTCTACTTTTGGATAGTTGAGCCGCCATTAAATCTCTACGAAGTTTGGTAACCTCAATAACGTGCAACAATACTCTAAACATAAGCTTGCGAAGTCTATACCCCGGCTTAGGACAAATTTACCCAATGTGGCAATGAAAAGCTGGTCTTCAGGAGTAAAGTTGGATTAAGGCGCCAATTCTGGCTGAGGCTTGATATCAGTAGAAACCACGCTCATATACTATTGGAACGCTACCAACTCCGGCTGGTAATTGGCAAAATTATGCAAGTAGAATCGGCTCTCCGGCTATTGTCGATCTGATGTCGCGACAATGCAGAAAGTCGAGGCATCGAAAACTCCTCTTGCCACAGTTCGGGTTGCGCTAAACTTCAGCAGCAGTATCACCATTAGCACTATTTTAACTGTCTGTCTGACGTAAGTTCCACGAAAATCTGGTGAACCACAAAAGCTTGTAAAGACCAACCCAGGACTTGGTTCTATTTTGAGGTACACGGAAGGATTCGAAGTCGGGCAAATGATTTGAATATCACAACGGGCCTCCTTTATTAGAAAACGCTTTTGCAAGGTTTTCTCTCATCACCCTAACGATTCGTAAGTTTCGATTGTACGAACGATGACTGTGCGATATTTCTTTAAAAGTCACTCAAACCCTAGCCTCCTTTTAAAACTAGACTTTTTAGAGGGTGCTATGTCTCACATTCGGAGGGAGATGATATTCGTTGTGTGTACGAGTTTATGATTTATATCGGTAATTACAACTTATGAAATGCTATCTTAACTTGCAGTGTCTTGTCAGATTCTCTCTGACGTCAGGATTTTTTTTAAGGACTTTGTAGTTTCAAATATATAGTTAAGTCCAAAAATGACTAAACAAATTTTATTTAATGTAGAATAATAATAGGTATCGAAAATGCCCTTTTAGTTAATTTTATTTTTTGAAGCTTATAAAGTTGGAAGGACGATATTCGATGATGTGCTCGAGTGTCCATTGATCTTTAACCAATATATTTTTTTTTAAAGAAGGAGTAAACAAGTTTCAAGGATGTTGAAGGATGAAATTTTATAAGAAATATTGAAAATACCTTCTCGTCCTTATGTACGAAAGATTTTACTTGTTTTAATTTGACAGAATTTTCACTTCATCTTTCTTCATTGTACTGATTTTTTTTAGGTTATCATGTTTTTCAAATTTCAAAGTCATTTTGTGAAAAATCATGGCGTCTGAGAGTAGAACTAAAAATGCAGTTTTACTAGATTTGTGTGTAAAATTGTCGCAAAGTGTTATTCGTTTGGACAGAGACAAAAAGCTTGTAATTGCCCCTTTCTTTTGATCTTAGTACTTTTGCGGGCGACCACAGGTTCACTGTCCACACATACCTAGATGGCGAGTAGAAGGATCTTTCCAATCTAAGATTTGTTGTTCACCATCCTGCACCATATCAAAGAAGCGAGTGTGATTTTTTTGCCGCGGCAAGATTATTTACTTCACTCGTAGATCAAGTTGACATAGAGGAGTTGTAAAAAAAATACAGAAATAGCTACGAGGGTTTTGTAGTGGCAATCTGACTATGGTCAAGAGAAGCAGGGTATCAGTCGAAAGAAAACCCAGAAAATAATTTAGGTAGCCTCCCTTAAGTAAAGCCATTCGAAAAGAGGTACCCAAGAAAGACTTAAAAAGCCTCTTATTAATTAAAGAAGCAGCTTAAAAAGAACAGGACGTATGTCCTTCTGGAAGCACTTCTATGTGTAGCGAAATACAATACAAACAAGAAAGGAGAACGGATTGGAAGATCTCTTGTAATGGGTCTGTGGGATCGTGGCTGAAAAGTTTCATTCAAGTGAACATCATTGTGGTCGGTTACAATTTTGAATTGCGTATGACAAAACTGCGATAAAAATATTACTTATCCACAAAATCGTTGCCATATTTTTGTTAGTCAAGAACTTTTTAATATTCATTTATTGATGTTGTTTGTGTGTCGGAGACGTAGTCTAGGGCTGGTATAAGTGATTCGGGTCGACCGGTTAGATAAGAAAGGTGGTGTAGTTGCGATGTATTGCAAGAAATATCTAAAACCTCGCCTAATTTCGCGATCCGTTGGTAATACCATTGAGTATTTGCTAGTTGAGGTATCATCTAATTCTTTTTCAAAGGTCGTTTTGTCGTGTGTGTATAACCCTCACAAGTGTGAATACATTTTTTAATATGTTGTCTGCTGTAGCTGTGGATTATGATGAAACTATTGTTTTAATTTTTAATGTAAATTTGTTGTGTAGTGATTTCTGTAGCTCCCGTTTGTTAGATGATGATGTGTCTAGTGCTGGTCCATCTATTCTAAATCATTGCGTACCTACAAGATACGGAAATAACTGTTGTAACAGTCTGCTTGATTACTTCGTTGTTTCTGATTCGTCTAATTTGACCAGATGTCGTTTATTACAGCAAACTTAGTTCTCAATCTGCCCATAAAATTGAAGTAGTTTTCAATCAACAGCTTAAACGAGGGCATTTTGAAGAATTTTCGTACTTAGTACGTCAAAAAGTTTTTGTGCTCTGTGTTTCGCTACTTTTTTTTTGTTAAAAAACTTTACTTTTCTGTTAAAAAATTTTAAATCGCTAACTTGGAAAAGTCGAAAACGACTCCGTTCGAAATAAGATCACCTTATTTTTTCCTTAGTGCCTTTAACTTCTTTTCACTCACTGAACCACTGTACGTGCGTACTGGCGTTAAGCACATTAAAACCACTTAAATATGATCCGCACAAAGCGCATCGAAGAAGAAGCGTAGGAACTGAGAAATTCTATTAACTTATGAAATTACAAGAGAAATGAAAACTTATAACAAGAAGTCATTAAGTCACGAAGAATTAAAAACTAAAAAGTCAAATTGCAATAAAGAGAAAAGAATACAAACAGAGTTGCAAAGGAGGAAGTGTTTGCTTGCAGTAGAAAAGAAGTATGTAGATACATATGTATATGCAGCAAAGTGGCTGTGAAGTGTTCAACAAAAGAAATAATAAAGAAAGCAAAAAAATAAAAAAATAAAAAAAAAGTAAACAAACCAATGTGCGCGGGTATGTGAAAGGATATGCGACAGAATTGCAAGACAAGCACGCATATAAACTTATGCATAAGTTTTACGACATGTATATACATGCACGTAGTATGTACATATAAAGTATTAAACGTTTGACGGGCTGACTGACTGTTCTAAGTGGGTAACGAGTTAAAGTATTTTTATTTTTATCTGTCAGAAGACAGATATCGTCGATGTTTTTGCAAAACCGCCCATTCGACCAGTTGCTTAACCGCCTAAATCGCTGTTGTGGCAAAAATTAGATTTGGTAACCTTGATCTCCAGGCAACGGATTTATCCATAAAAATTACATAATCAACAAAATTAATACAACAGATTTGTAAAATAATAGCTAGAGAAAATACCGCCCCTCACGGCAATGCCCTCAAAAAAAAAAACTGTTTTTCGCTCTCCTATAAAATTTGAGTGCCGTAAGATTGGCGGTTTTGCAAAAACATCGACGATGTGTATATGTATTTGTGCATCAAAAAATATTTTTTGAAAAAATGTCGCTTACGTCCTTTTGGCACTTGGGGCTCGATATACTCGTATATCTTTGAGTTTTCCTTATGTATGTGTGGATATACAATTTGTAAATAATATCATTGCAGTTAAATAGTCTCTCCTTTTCAGTTGAGTAAATAAAGATAACTACGAAGCCGATTCAGAAGTTTCTTTCAGTGTTAATTTCATTATTTATTCATTGTTTATAGAAAATACCACGCAGTCTATATGCCGTCGATTATACTGTTTTCATGATCCTTTTTACAGGACAATTCCGGCTAAGATAGTAAACAGACTTTCATAAAACAAATGAAACATAGTTGGAAAGATAGTTCGAAAGAATTCTTGTTATTCTACCGCAAAAGTCTTAGAAAAGAGCTTCCTCATTCACCACTCATGGTGAAAAGCTAGTTTTAAAGAAATCACTTGTAACTATTTTTACTATAATTTTTTCTTTTTTAAATTAGGTTCCTTTTATTATTAGATTTCATAAATACAAATTTTGTTAATTTCAGTTAATTTTCAAAAACTTTTTAAAAGTGAATGTCTTTTTTTTAATATTTTATTGTTTTCATTTCAAACATATTTTTTAATTATTTTAAATTTTTAAGAATTTTTTTTATATTTCCTAGTTACAAGTGTTTTTTCTCAACTTAATTTTCGTTTTGGTTTTAGATTTTATTGCTTCAAAAAGAAACATTTAATTTTTATGATCTTATTTAATTTTTTTTAATCTTATGTTTTATATTTTTATAATTGAATTTTCTTTTAATTTTTAGACTTTCTTTTCGAAAAAAACCATTTTATTCATAATTTCACAAAATTTGTAAGTACTATTTTCTTCTTCTTTGATATTTTTGTTTTATTTTTCTAATTTAATTTTGTTTATTTTTAAAATTTTATCGTTCTAAAAAGAAAATTTTTTATTTTCCTTAATTTTTAAAAATATATATTTATAAATTTTCTTTTAATTTTGGTATTTTTTTGTTGTTTTCAAACAAAACTATTTCTTTTCATTTCATTAAATTTTAACTACAGTTTTCTTTTTTTATTTATTTATTTTTTTCTATTTCTTATTTAATTTCCTTTTAATTTTTAGATTTTGTTGTTAAAAAAAAAATATTTTATTTTATTAAGTTTTTAAAAATAATTTTTTTTCTTTATTTTATTTTTTTTTTAATTTTTTCGTTTCTTAATTTAATTTCCGCCTGTTTTAAATAAATCAGGTCTACGAATATATTGGAGCAGATTGTTGGGTGTTAAAGAGCTATGTGTTCGTCTTTCAAAGCATTGTTGCCAAAAGCGCCAAACTTGCAAAGGCGGGGCCAGGAGCATAAAAAGCCTCACCCTATACTAGTGGGCGTGGGTGGGTGGTTGCAGGTTGTTTAGCAAGGGTTACATTTATTTTGAGAGGATTAGTTACGGAACCGGCTGCGGGTTTTCAAAAATATAAATAAAATTAAATACATATTTCTAAAAATAAAATTTATAACAGTATTGACGTATAAAAACAGATGATCACTTCAAATTTCTGGGCTGGAATTTTTATGACAAATTAATGTTTTTTATATTACAAGCGATGGCGGCGAATACGCTCGCCGTTCCGCGTTCGTTCTGAAAAAGCATCCGTAAAGTGAATAATTTAATTTAATTTTAAACGATAATAAAATATAAAGTATTAAATTTTTACTATGCATTATTTCCCTCAGTGTAGTCTTCATAAAATACTTCTTTGAATTTCACTGCTCTGTACACACTCGTAGATGTGTTTGTTTTTATGTAGATGTACTTGCAGTATTCAAGAAGAAAAATTTAGCTTTGAGCATTGCAAAGTTGTAATTGTTAATCACAATTTTTTTTTTCTTTTTTTTACTTCACCCTTTGGCGGCTATCAGGATAGGGAGGATAAATGTGCTACTTTTGATTTTGTTTTTTTTGCGACAAAGACTGTAAGGCCATAAGAAGTTTTCATTTGTAATTAAGTGGAGAAAGCCATGCTGTCGCGTTAAGCAAAAAAAAAGTTTGTGAAGTAGAAGTAAGAAGAGTAGGAATAGCTATTTCTCTGCCCAACTTAATTTTGATTTTCAATTTAAATATTAAATATTAAGTATGATGTAAGAAGTTTGTGAACGAAGGCAGGCTCTAAGAGTACGCATACAAAGAAAGCTGCATCGTGCCGAGATTAGGGAAGCAAAGAGAAACGAAGCTGCAGTAGTTCATACTGAATGAGGCGCAGCGGGGCTTTTTGCATGGAATCGGCTGCAAAGATAGCATAAAAATATTTGATGAATTTGCCTGAAAGATTTGTCGAAAAATACATTGAAATAACAAAAAAAAAGGCCGAAACATGTTAACTTAATATTGGGTTGTAGATTTTGGATCTGTATACCGTTTTTCCAGATTAGGTAATTATCCTAAGATATTTTAATTTTTATGAAAAAAACCTCTAAATTTAACAATGAAAAATTTAAAAAATTAAAAAAATATTAATTATTATGTATTTTTTGCTTTCGTTTGTATAGAGCGTGATCTTTTGCAAAATTAGGCTTAGAGTATACGAGAATTTTTTTTTGACAGCTGCAAACTGATTTAAGAAATTTTGATAGGAGAAAATTTCTTTCCCATTTCTTGTGTGTCATTTTATATGAATTCTTCGTTTTTTTTGAGAGCTGCAAACAGCCTTTTAATGATGAAAATCGATGCATAAATAATCATGTTTTGAATGGTAAAATGAGAATGTGCAATATATTTATTTTCGTATGAAATAGGAGCAGGAAATAATGTTACTCATACGCCATAGTGTACATACATGGTCGTACTAGTACATGGCGTATGCGTAATACTTTCTATGTGAAAG